CCAGGCCAGCAGATAACAGGTTAAGAGGGGCACCCTTCACAGGATCTTTTATTATGTTTAATAGTATCTCAAGGTAATGTATTCACATGGTAAAAAAATTACAGAAGAGTGTAAAAGTGTAACACCTGTTCTTTCTAGCATCATACTTCCTTTTTTATTAGCACATATTTGAAATGTGTAATGATTACATTCCTCATGGGGAGTTGGCGCATGTACCTAACACATCTTAATTCCTCTTGCATCTCCTGTCCCTCCCCTCCCTCTGCTCTCCCTCCATCTCTTGCTCCCCTTCCCCTTTGAGAAAAATCTGTCTCCCTATTTCCTATTATCTAACTTTTATTTTGCTCTTTATTTATATTTTGGATTTCTCATACAAGAGAAGCCATGGATATTTCAGCTTATATATCTGATATATTTCACTTAAGATTATGCATCCATTTCCATACAAATGACTCAAGCTTGATGTCAAATCAGTACTTGTTAGAAATAAGTATTTTAAATCTTTTCTGTTTTTAGTTATTCTTACTGTTTCCTCCATCCTTCTATATAATGTGTCCTTGTCTCTTTTTCCTGTTTATCAATTTAACCTGATCTGCAACTCTCATTAGAGGATGAATCATTTCATACTACTCCTTATACCCTCTCTTTACTGTGTGTTAGGTATGCTATCATTTGGAGCTGTTTTAATGATTACCTTCATACAACATATTGAACCTTGAGCTTTGGTTCACCAGTGTTGCCAAAATACAGATACAGTATCCAGTTTCTCTGTGGGGCTACAGAACGATGATCTTCAGGGATGAGTATTTTACAAAAGTTCCTTGAGGTTCTGTGTGTCCTTCAAGCTAAGGACTACCATCCAGGGTCTGCAGGGCTCCAGCCCATTCATGTGCACCCCAATAAAGATGGCAGGCAGGGCACCCCTCCCATTGCACAGACTCATCATTCACCTGTAGGACAACAGGAAATGACAGAGGTGAAGAAGTGACAGACAGGAACACAGTGACCTCACGGTCCCAAGAGCACACTTTTTCCAAGCACCATTTTGGATGAAAAACATTCACCCTGCAGAGTCACAAGCAGAATCAGTGTCAGGGAACAGTGGAAGGAGTGTGGCTTTAGGAGACCTGACTTCTTCTGTTGAATAACTTGGAAAACAAGCACCTTGGAGATCAGTCTCATTCTTACTAGAAGATCGCAGTGTACAAAGCAAGGGGCTCACCATCTGGATGCTTGCTACAAAACAAGCAAAATCACTCAGAGTAATGACAGTCAAACTTCACAGTGAAAACCTTTAGTAGAATGTAATTAGCACATTAGTGTCCTTTAACAATATTATATCATTAATAGCACAAATAAAGCAGATCAAGAAAAATGCACTAATTACCCCATGTTACTTCCCTAGGTTTTTTTTAATAAAATGGCAAAAGACAATTAGAAAATGATTTAATTAAACCTTGTTAATGAAATGCTCGGGGGACTATAGTGAGTGAAATGGGTTTTCTAGTTAACTGGTAGGCAAAGAGTTAATATCTTTATTCCTCTTCGTAGCGAAGAATATTTTTCTGTATTGTCAGAGTCCTTTTCCTTGTATCATGGAGAAATCAAGCCTTCTAACTCTAAGACACTCATTTCTTAGTGATTAAGGTTATTGTAAGGTTAATATTATCATTCCCGGCTTGACATTTCATGTAGGAGGGGAGATGTCAGCTATTAGGTGAATATATATTGACCCCCAAGTTATTTCCTGATTCTGATGATTTTAGCGAACATCACAGTTAGGAGCTTCTCAAGGTTACTGGGGGAATCTGATTGGAGGGTCCCATCCATTTGGCTCCACTAATGTGTGGCCAGGGTTTGTCTCCACTAATCTTGTAATCAGACATTCTGGTGCTGGCCTGGCACACATTTCTGGTGCTCGCCTGGCACACATTTCTGTTTGAACAAACCCTGCCATTTCCTTTGGACTGCACTGTGCTTGAGGGGGCAGCAGTCAGTACCAAATGCCCAGGAACTTGTTACAGTTTGAAAGTGACGGAATCTGACTACAGGAGATAATTTCCATTTCATTCTCTCAATAGTTATTTTGTGAACAAGATGTTCTTTTTAAAGTCTCTAAAGAGTATGGAAGTCTCTAAAGAGTATGGAAAGTCTCTCCAATGTTTACTGGCTTCTAACCAGTAGTGAAATGAATGGTTTTGCCCTTAAGAAGGCATTTCACCTGGGAATGCATACTGGGTAGAGAAACCCTATTCTGACTTCCCCTTTACTGACAGCTTACTCGTACTATTGTGCAAGTAAATCACCTCCGTAAAACTGAAAACTGTGGCTAGAGGACAAGTTCATCTCAAAAGTTACTCCCAACCTGAGTTTCTCCTTTCAACCAATTACTTCCCTACTAGTATTTGCGGCCTGCTGGTAAGATTTCCCTGGCTCCTTGGCATTCATGCTGGAGGAAAGTCCTGGCTTCTACTTACTCAGTAGATAAGTACTGGGCACCTACTGTGTGCCAAGTGTGGTTTGAGGTGCTGGGTTCTAGGCAGTATCAGTGAACCATATGGAAAAGGTCCCTGCCCTCTGAATCTGCCATGCCAGTGGGAGGAGACAGGACAAAAGGACAAGATGTTTTCAACTGTGAACAGTGGTCTGCAGAAACTCGAGCAGGAGCTGAAGTAGGACTTGCCTGGAGAGGTGTTGACAGTAACTGCACTGGGTTTCTCTGAATAGATCCCAAGGCAAGGACTGAGTACAAGTGGTTTCTTTGATGCCAAACCAAAAACTACCAGTAGGGAAGCGGAACAGGGAAGCAGGGAAGGGAGAGCAGACTACAAAGGCGCATCATCAAGTACTAAGCACTGCAGGCTGCTGAGGGAGCTCAGCCCGCCAGGGGCTGTCAGTGTAGACCATGCAGCGGGCTTCTGCACCCAGGGGGGAGGATTCTGGGACACATACTACTATCTCCCCTGCTGTCTTTGATTGAAAGCTGCTTCTGGACGTATTAGCTCCTCAGCACGTCCTGGTTACCCCGCCTACCCCGCCTGTGGGTGGAGGAATAAATGGTCGCAGTTAGAATAAAACATAGAACTGTGGTGGGTAAAGGGAGTGGAGATGAATGGGGTGATGACAGTGTCCACTACAGGGCAAGAACTGGCTCTTAAACAGGGATTAGGAAGGACATCTCTGAAGAAACGGTGTTCTAGCTGAGATCCAAGAGATGGAAAGGAGCCAGCCATGGAAATAACCTTCCCAGGGAAAGAAGAGAATGGCCCAGTAGGACTGGGATGGGTTTGTTTATAAAACAGAACACTGAAGAATCACAGAATCTTGGAGGCACAGAAGGATGGATGTCTTTCAATTATAAAGCTCATTCTTTTGGTTAAGGAAACTCGATGGCCTCAAAAGAAATTAAAAGATGTGGACAGATGGCTATGTGCCACCAGATCCCAAGACAGAGCTCAGACCAGCACTCGGGCCTCTTAGAAGCCCGCTGAGGGCTCCCTCATCCACCACAATGCTTCCTCCATTCCCTCTTCCCTCTCTCTGACTGAGATTTGGCAATGGACCCAAGCCATTGACTTGAACTGGCACCTGCTTTATGATCCCTGATCAAATCCAGGCAGGGAGCCCCACATTATGCATAAAAAGAAACCCAAGTAAACACAAGGTTGTATGAGGTCCTACCTGGGGTTGCCATCCAATCTCATTTCCCACCCTGTCCTCCTCGTACATCATACTACCATCACGCCAGCTCCTCACTGTTTCTGAAACACGGCAAGCAACCCTCCACCTCTCAGCCTTTGCTCAGAATGCAGGGCCCTAGAAACCCCCACAGCCCACTCACAAGCTGAGACCTTGAGCCAACAACTCCCCTCAGTCAGTCTTATCTTGCATTTTCCTTCCACAGCCTGGTAGGTCCCCTTCCTTTCCACTCACCCCATTATATCTCTCTTCACAGATGCATTTCTACCATACCGTAGGTGTGATGGAACTATACTGTGCTATATATTTGCTTGTTTGTTGTCTATCTTTCCCACTAGAGAGCAATGACATGAGAGAAAATTCTGTTTCATTCACCACGAGAGACAGTGGTTGAAGGTAAATTGCATAACTGAACAGCTTCGTTCTGACCCCATCTCTGCTGCTAACTCACTGAATGACTGCAACTATTCTCCTACTCTGTCTCAGCTTCTTTATCTGGCAAATCGGCATATAATTTGTGCTTTATAAAGGGATAAAGTGAAATGAGGTCATAGATATGAAAGTAATGTACATTATTGAATATATTATATGCATGTAAGGTTTCCTTTTAAGTAGAAGTCTTCCGGAGTTTTAGCGAATCTTCCTAAATTGGGTGGAAATTCCATTCTCAATAAAGAAGCCTTTGTGGATGTTAGAATTGATCAGGCCTCATCAGGGTGGAGCGGATCCGGTCCACTGTGCATGAAAGAGCTCAGGGGGGGATGAAAACCCAGATCAGAATCCAGCCCCTGCCACAAACTTGCCAGTGACCTTGGTGAACTTGCAAGAACTTGCTTGTGATTGGCTTCAGAACTCTCTTCTCTTTACAGGGTACAGGTTGGAGGAGGTGAGTGAGGCAGCTGTTTGTATTTTGTTTCACCTATCCGTGTCATCATAACCCAGCCGCTTACTGATCACTCAGTGGTAACACCAGTTACTGCTCCCTCAGTCTCTGCCAACCTTGACACATACCATCTTCTTGTACCTTCACCCCTGCTTCCTTTCCCTCCATAGGCAAAGAGACCATCAAGTAACTTGAGGATAAGAGAGGATAACAGACACTTGGGAGCCAGGACTTCCACCCCACCATGCTGGCTGAAGGGCAGCCACTTACAACCACTGTGCTAACTCAGTGAACAAACCGAGGGATGACCCAGATCCATCTCGGGAAGCAGGACGGAAAACCCTGCGATTCTGCAACCTGGGTGTGTGGATTTATTTAGTGAATGTGTCCTGATTTCTCCCATTCCCTCCTTCTGCAGGGCTTCATGGACATTGACTTAAATAAATTCAAGGAGAGTGGAGCAAACGTGACTGGTTTCCAGCTGGTGAACTACACAGACACCGTCCCAGCCAAGATCATGCAGCAGTGGAAGACGAGCGATGCCAGGGACCACACCAGGGTGGACTGGAAGAGACCCAAGGTTTATATCATTACACCACGATCACCAAATGCCCAAGATTCTTCTGTCTTGTTCTGCTGTCCTCAGCATATAGCTGCTGTCTTATGGTTCAAGATGGCTGCTTAAATTCCAGCCATCATCTCAGCACTCTACCCAGCAGGAAGATCAAAAGGAAAATGGAATAGACAAGTGCTGTCTTTAAGAATTATTTGTAAAATTCACATACAGGTCTTCCACTCATATGGAAATCACCCTCAACTGACTGCAAAGGAAGCCAAAAACTTCTGTCTCTAGTCTAGGCAGGGTTACCATGTTCCACAGATCCAGAGGAAACTTGTTTCTTTCACACAATGAAGTGGCCCCATGCTGGACAATGGTGTGTCCGAATAAATATCAGGGAAACCTAATTAAGGATTATCCCTACTTCAGAGTCTGCTATCAATTATCATGCACAGTGTCTACTTCCCAGAAATGCATCTCTAAATCCTGCAACCAAATCTATTTTGTGTGCTCTCTGGGAATGGTTTAGAATAAAGTGAGCAAGTAATTTTTCTTCCCATGTCATATCAAATAGTTTGGCAGTGGCTATGCAGAATGCTTGGTTGAGAAGGATTCTGAGGCCAAGTTATCTGGGGCAAAGAGTGAATCCCTGACCGACTTTTTCTTGCTGTTCAGTCGATTTGTTTTTGTAAATTGCAGGCCATGAAACTGACATGCTTCTCACCCACTATTGATCAAACTGACCTCATTCTTCAAGAATGAAGACTAAGCCAGGTGTAGTGGCACACGCCTGTAATCACAGCTAATTTAGCACGACTCTGTCTCAAAATTAAAATTCCTTTAAAAGATGAGGAAGTAGCTCAGTAGTAAAGCATCTGCCACCAGGTCAAAAACCTAGGTTCAATCTTCAATGCTGCAAGAAAGAAGTGGGGAGAGAAATTAAGACTTTTTTCATTATGAGCTTGAACAAACAATATTCACAAGTGTGCTTTAAATCAATGAGTGAGCCAGATATAGGAATTATTTAATTAATATATGAATATACCACTCAATTTCTAAAGGTAGCAGAATTGTCTTGAAAATGAGGGGGAAAACAATGTTAAGTATTTTAGAAATACTTGCAATTCATTCTGCAACTCTCTGTTGTGTGCTTACAATGTGCCAGATAACAGAGGAGGATTAGGAGCAATTGAGTGAGGAGGATAGATAAGGGCTCCGAACACAGAAATTATTTTCCTGGGCTGTTAACCTGTTTGTGTCTCATCTACATATTTTAACTCCATCTTGGTCAAAAGGGAAGAAAACCCGAGAGCTATCATTCATACACTCCAGGAAGGTTACAGGACAGAAACTCACCACCTGGGAGTCCTGCGTGCAGAAATGATTAAGAGCTCACTCCTCTCAGAATGTGTTTTTTCTTCCACTGTTACAAGAAATGGTAGAATAACAGTTCTTCCTGGCTCCCAATTGGTGACTATAATGCAGAGAAAACCAACTGATTTTCCATGTGTTTGGTCTGCAGGTGTGCTGTATTTAGTCTATGCACTTTTCCGGAGTAAACCACATTGTTTAAAAATCACCACACTGCACACACAGGCCTAGGTTCTGTCTTCTTTTTGAATGTCCCAGCTAAGCATGCTGAGCTCGCCCTGCAGAGCGGCACTGACAGTGTAGTGAGCATCCCATGGGAAGAGGCAGGTGTTTCTGCTCTGGTTCACCATCTCCCCACCTGTTCCTTCCACCTGGTCTACTGCACACATTCTCCTCGCCAGGAAGCACATTCCCATGTATAGCTCCCCACCGTTGCTTCCCGTCAGCCCCCTCTGACACCTGTCTCCTTCCTTCCACCAGTACACCTCTGCACTCACCTATGATGGGGTGAAGGTGATGGCAGAGGCTTTCCAGAGCCTGCGGAGGCAGAGGATTGATATCTCTCGCCGGGGGAATGCTGGGGACTGTCTGGCAAACCCAGCTGTGCCTTGGGGTCAGGGGATCGACATCCAGAGAGCCCTACAGCAGGTAAGGCTGGCGGTTTGCCCATTCCATGGGAGCCTACTAGGAAATTCAGCATCGAATTTAAGCAGCTATTAAAAAGAAAAAGGAGAACGCGCCTGAAGTTTGGAACAACCACTGCACTGTGTTTGCAGCTCTTGGCATAGACGGAACCTCCTGTCAAAAATTACACAAATGTAGAATGTAGAACAGTCATTTCTTGTAGTGTAAAAGCTGTATTTTCTGCTTGGGGATTATGCTGAACTAGAAAGCCAATGATTTCTGTATTTAGAAGTGGAATTTGAAATACGCAGGGGTGACACCAACGCACATGAGCAGTCTCCTGGACTTTGTTTTCATTACCTTTGTTCTCCATGCACATTTCAGGAGGGCCTGCTGTGTGAGGGGCCCTGGAAATGTTTCTCAGGACTTCTGCTCCTACTGTCTCGCTACGTGGCATTGTACCCATCAATTCTGTTTGCGCTCGGGAACAGTTAACGAATAAGAATAGGAATGGTTACGCCCACTCCAATCGATTGGCTATGCAAAGGATTCTGAGGCTGAAAGCAGATACCACAGGGAAGAGCATAAATATTCAATTAGTGATGTCTGCTGCAGGAGCAGGATGAGACAGTGGTACCTGTGGGCGTCTATTTAACGTTCCAGGTTTAGAAAATTCCGGGGACTCACTCTTGGCTCTACCACTCGTGGAGCCACTAGAAGCCTCTAGAAGTTCCCTGAGCCCAGGCTGAGTCTCCGTCTGCCAGGCACAGCCCCGTATCGTGCTTGTGAGGCCTCCTGATGGAGGAGCTGTATTTCCAGATGCTGGGGAGAGCTAACCGCAAGTGACAAATCATCAGGTAGAGCAGGAAATCAACAGCAGCAAGATATTTTGGTGGAAATGTTGCTCAGTACCCACCCGCCCCAACCGGTCCAGTTGCCAACTCTACTCCATTCAACAGAAGGTGAATTGTGCTCCCAGGGCGGAAGAAGTGCTTCTGAATGAGGGAGAAACACAGAGCAAAATGTACAGCAATTCCCGTTTGTTTCCCAAACACATGTGTGCAGCTCTGGGTTTTCACAAACCTCAAAAGGAGAGGAGAAAGGAGAGCCACCAGCTGTTCCTCGGGGCTGTTGAGTGCCTCGGTGTGGAGGACAATGAAGAGTGCTGTCCTCTGGATCGAGGCTCATCAGAAGCCCCAGGAGCTGGAAGGGCACATGCCAAGGAAGACCACCAGCTGCCATCTCTACCCTCCTCTGCCTCCAGGCAGGGAGGTCCCCAAATGGTAGTGACAGCAGATCCCAGGCAGATTCCCAAATAAATGATGGCCCAGGGGCTGCATCTGCCCCCAGCTTATTTAAAATGCTCTTCCAGACGCCACAGTCGAGACAGATTCTGTTTGCAATGTAAGCTTGATTTCAGAAGGTTCTAGGGCTCCACGCCCCTTGGCTCCGTGCCCCTTGCAACTCCCTGGCCTCACCCACCTTAATGAGGTCCCCAAAAGGGTATTCTGATGCCATCACAACAAAGATGAAGCCGGGGAGGCAATGCAGAGTGACAGGAAGGACTCTGAAGCAGAAGGCAGGAAAGCTGGCTACAGCTCTCTGTGCGCAAACTTAAAATAGCGGATCAGCTCTCCCAGGGACCTCCCGTTCTTTATCCATGGAAATGCCGCATTTGGAAAGACAGCTCCCAAGTCTCAGTTGGCTCTGAGAGTCAGAGTCAAATTTGCCAGGCGTTGTGGTGCATTTTTATAATACCAGAAGTCTGGGAGGCTGAGGCAGAAGGATGGCAAATTTCAGCTCAGCCCGGGCAACTTAATGCTATAACAAAACTCTGTGTTTCTTTATCTCCTGGTCTAACTCATGTCCTACTGGTTGTAATGTCTGCTCATTCTATTCCTGCCATTAGTAGGACTGGAAATGAAGCAATTTTCCATGTCAAAAGAATAATGACCTTTTGTATGGTGTCTTGGAACTGAAAAGTATGTGCGTGCTTTTCATCAGCGGGTGCCTGGGAGCAGGCTACACGTTGTGGCGTGGGGCCAAGCACTGAGGCTGGTAAGAGAAGCCAAGGCCTATCCTAAAGAGTCTGAGCCACTATAGGGAAAAAACAAACCAACTAGAAAGTTCCTACCCTAAGACTGACCTCTTATCAAATCTTCCTTAAGTATCTCGAATAAAAGAGTTTATTGCTGAATGAGACCTTAGAGATTACTCTCCACTTCCCTCGCTTTATCAAGGAGACAGCTGACCCACAGTGGCCAGTGGCTCTTCCAGGGTCACACAGCAGCCAAACAGCAGAGCCTGAACTAGACCCCTCATCACGGCTCCTCCTGCTGCCCACCCCACGGCCGTTCCGCACCATGGCCATGGCCACTGTCTGACCATTTTGCCTTCTAGACCCATCTCCTGAAACAGCCACACTGCAGGAAGAAAGTGTGCCCTCCCCAGCTAAGTAAATCCTGCCATCTAGTTCCTGGAGCACAGGCCCTGGAAGCTGAGGTCCCTGCACTGCCCTGCGTCCACTGGCCCTCAGGTCAGATAGAGTGGGTAGGTAGCTTGTACAGAGTCAGTGAGTTAGAATTGCAGGTCCAGCACTGCTTACCTGGAGGCGAACACACTGCAGAGTCTAGGTCTAAAAATGAATGGTCATAACAACTATGATGTGTTAAGGGCTTACTATGTACAAAGCCCTGAACATCCACACATATTATCTCACTGCATCCTTGATTCAGCACAGTACATAAGCTGGCTTTTATTAACTGTGCTTTATAAATGGAGGAACAGAGCTTCAGAGAGGTTAAAAATCTTCCCCTAACTATGCAGCTAGTTGGCTGGTGATGAACCCGGACTCCAACCCACATTTAGTCGACCTGTTCTTCTGTACTGCGCAAAAACCTCAAAGGCCCAGCCCAGCAGAAGAGACACAAGAACTGTGACCCAGCCCCCCAGCAGCACATAGCCTCAGGCAATATCTGTGCTCCCACGCCCCACACCCACACACGCTGCTGTAATTTCCCTAGCAGCAGAATGAAGATAATCAGCCCGCCTGCTTGCCCCCTGCATGCCTCCCAGGGAGCTGTTCAGAATATTAATGAATCCACATCCTGGAAGCCCTTGGTGCCCCAGAAAGGAGGCAGTGTTATGGGGTTGGTACATCTGTTTCTGGTTGGCGAAAAAGACTCACCTTCCAAAGTCAAGCTCTTAGCATAGGCCTTTAAGGATATGATTCTAAAAAAGAAAACCTTTGGAGTTTTTTCCCCAGGAAAATGCATATATGTACCTACATATATTTCCTCATGACCAAGAGTGAAGGGAACACAGATATTCCTAGAAGCTGAGCTCAAAATCTCAAGTTTAAAATACCTGCCCTAAATATTGATCATTCTCTGTCGTTTACATTTTTGCAAAGTGTCAGCCCATAACCAAGCATATCAAAACGAAGGTATGTCCAGCAATTTGCTGGAGAGGGTCTGGGATGGTGTGGCATTAAGGGGAGTGTCGGACACAGTGCCTGCCTTTCAGGACTGAAGAGCCAGCTTGAAAAGCCAGGCAAGTTTCTGAGAAAGGACTGCTAGCAAGGTATGGATTAAGACCTGAATCTCAAAGATGAGCTTCTGGTGCTGTGGACGATCAGGAGGGCAGAGCAGATTACTGAATAGGAACATTAGCAAGGCTTCCTGTGTGGGTAAACTAGGCTTTTCTGCAGGATGATCCCATAATTTATCATGTAAGCTCAGACACCCAAGTGTGAAAGGAGGAGCTAAGGGTTTTGCTAGGCAGTGGAGTACTTTCCTAGCAGGCACGAGGCCCTGCGTCATCCCCAGAACTGCAAAGGGAAGGGAAGTGCTATTATCGATTATTCCAGAACAAGAGCTGTAGGCTGGAACTGTCCAAAGCAAACTGAGATAAATGGTCACCTCAGCTTTAAAGGAAGGCGAATTTGAACAAGGAACAAATCTGGTTTTTGAGGTTCTAGGTAGGAATATTAATCTTACCCAGCAGCACAGCAGGGAAAGTTGCAAGCAAGGACCTGTGGGTATCACACCTGGCCTTTTAGGAAGTCAGGCAGAGAAGAGCTAGGCTGTAACAGTAGCTCCACTCAGAGCACGCTATTGGGAAGTGTGCATGTAGGGAGGTGTCTTGGACTAATTACTCAACTTTCTGGGTCTCAATTGCTGCATTTGCTACATGAACACAACCTTCTTCGTACTGCCTTTCCCACTGATTTGTCACAAGGCCCCAAATTTTTAAATACACACTGTAGATGTCTCTTTGAATTCAAATGAGATATATGTGAGACAGTTAGAACTAGGATTATTCTCCCTAGAGAATAGGAGGAAGTAGAAGCTCAGGGGGATTTTGAGACTGATTCTGTCCAGCATCACTAGGATATAATCCAGCAGGGTCCTGGCATATAGGCCTCGCATGTCGCCATCTGGCCAAAAGGCAGGATCGACCTCAACCACGTGGTCATGGAACTTGAAGGTTCTGTCAGTGCATCTGAGATTTTGCCAAAGCAGGGGAAGTTACTGAGGAGAACATGTGGAGGGAAAAGAGGAACCAAGGTGGAAACCTAGGTTTTTCTGGGGCTTCATGGGTGAAAGGAAAGCAAGCTGAGATGGGGGGGTCACCTAAGCTGTAGAGGAAGGAACGAGGAACCAACCTGGTTAGTGGAGGTTCTGGGTAAAACATATGTGTTTCCCTTCACTTGAAGAGAGGAGAAGACTTAGTGGAAGTGACCCCTCAGAAAAAAGAGGAGGACGACAGCGTCAGATGCCTTCAGCCTAAAAAGAGATTTGGTTACCTTTGACAGTGCCTTTAGTAAAATGCTGGGAACAAAAACCAAATTGCACACAAAAATTCATTTATAAGATTGGTTGGATTATATTATGAATTTTTAAATGTTTTTAAAAAGACAGCCACAGAGAGGTGGTAGAAGCCCTGGGTCCCGAGTGGCTCAGCTGTCTCTTCCAGGGCTGCTTTTCCTTGATTCTGGATCCAAACAGGGTGGGGGAAAAGGAGTTACTGTGGACAACTGATGCTCGGTGAGGATTTAGTGATGCTCCGGAATCTCTTCCATTCACTTCCAAGTAATTCTAGCTACAGCACTGGACCCTGCTAAGTCAGTGCAGCGGGAACCCTTCTCTCCACAGCTGGCCTCCTCAACCTCCATCATCCCTCAGGCAATTTCTGACCACCCGGGGTTTGTCGTCAGCAAGAATCCTATTCTACTGGGTTAGCCGGAACCCCTTACTCCTGATATTTCCTCTTGGTAGTTTTCCATCCATTGACCCTGACCCTGTGTCTTGGCTATAAATCCCCCCTTGCCCATGCTGTATTTGGAGCTGAGCCCAATTTCTCTCCCACACTGAATCTCATCACAGTGTGGGTCTCATCGCAGTGATCCTGTATCTCGATTCCCCAGAGTAAAGTCTTCCTTACTGTGCTTTAACAAGTGCCACTGAATAATGTTTTTAAATGGCTCAAGTCAGAAAGACATTAGCCAGCACTATCCTGCCACCAGGCAGTAAAGAAAATGTATTCTTCAGCATCCCACCAGCGGCAGACTCTGAGCTGGCACTCAACAGCGTTTACAGGAAATCCAAGGTTAATTCTGCATCTATCGGGGAGGAAGCTGGTGGGCACCAGGATGGTGCCAGTAGCTTCAGGAGTAAGACCCAAGGAGAAATGCCTGGGCTCCACCCATCCATCTGACCTCACTCACTCTGAGGCAGGAGGAGTGTGCAGAGCCCAGACCTGATGGATGGGGATAGCGGGTTCACGTTTGCACAGAGCTGACGTCTTCTAGAATCTTCCTCCTCTAACTCTGAGTTCTCACTTTCCAAGATGAATGGTTTGGGGATGAGCCATTCCCTTGGCCTTTCCCTGCTCTGCTGTCCTGGAGTAGTGGCTCTGGGATGTCTACTTTCCCATTCTCCTACACCATGGTTTACCTCCATGTGCGTGAGTCTTAGACTGCCCAAATAGATGGGAGAAATCTTCCACTACCCTAGGCTTCCAATAACGTACTAAGAATCATGGAGCAAGTGTAGTCATCCCAAAGTCTTAGTGAGGTTATCTATAAAATTGCAAAATGGTCTCTGCCCTTGCTTTAGGCCAGAGCTGCTTGTGAAAGCACTGTGACAATGCATGGGGACCTGTGCTCACTAGAACTTTCTGCAAACTGAGGGCAATATGTAAAAGTGACAGTGACAAAATCCTGGTTTTTCTTTCAAGAGTCCCCTGTTCTCTGCTGTTCAACAATTTATTGGACATATGGCCTTAATCAGATTCTTTTCTTTCACATTCCTCTTACCCATGAGACACAGTACAGTTGTAGCAATCATCATTATCTAAATAATATATATTCATGCACACTTATATTCCAGAAAAGATTAGGAACTTCAATTTCTTGAGATGAGAAAACAGGCTCAGTTGAGAGCCCATGTTACCTGGTTAGGAATGAACAGAATACACCTGGAAATAGCCAGCAGGTGTCGTGGGTGGTATCAGGGGGCAGGTAGCACACACTGTGTGGCACATTTATGTGTGACCCACCTAGAGCCTAGCACAGTGGTGCTGGCCCATGCTTGAGGGACCACTCGATACTTGAAGTGATGAGAACTCTCAGTCATAGCCCTGGGTCTTCCATTGCTTCATCATAAATCTTGAGCAGATCACTTCACTTCCTAGGGTTTTGGGTTCCCAGTTCTTGTGTAAGTGAAGATCATAATCTCTAAACAACAAATCTCACAGGATTCCTATGAATATAAATGAAGCATGTGTGAAAGTGCTTCATGAATACGAAATACTTGGGAAACGGTGGTGGTGTTAGTATCACTGTTAATAACAACAACAGCATTTGTCAAGTACCATGGGCCAAGCATTGATCATAAAATATCTCATTGAATCTTTAAAACAACCTTATAGCATAATTAACTCTAACTGCTCCCATTAAATAAATGAGGAAAATGAGTCAGAAAGAGCTCGTGCAATTTTCCATACTAATGTGCCATGTTGATGACCACTGTAATATCTGAGACTGAACGCAAAGTGTAGATTTGCCTTAGAGGCTAATGACATGTTTGGCAAATCAGTCTACCATTCAGTCATCTACACATCTACCCTCCTCTGTTTGTCTAAGTGAGCTAATTACACCAGTACCTACCAGTGTAACAACTCAATCGTGAGCCTGAACCAGTGGGAAAGCGGAATCTGGGTGTGAGATGACCAAAGAGAAAAGAAGGGAAAGCTGCTGATGGATGGAATTTCTCCTTCTTTTTGTGCTTTGTTGCAGGATCTGTGCTTTGCTTTCTTTTTGAAAAGTAAGCACAGCCTAGTCTCTTTAAGAGCAGGAGCATTCTCCAGATTTTAGCTGAGAAAGTGAAGGGATTGTTGTAAACTTTGCCCAGTGCTCTGGGCCTGTCATGACTTCCCCACTGAGATTTCAAACCAGAGGTTGATTAGTGGATCAGCCTCAGAAGTGGAGTATACGCGCACTCATGCATGCACTCACACATGCACATACACACACATACTCATGCATACAAATATAGTCTCTCCTTCACTGTCTCACACACACACACACACACACGCATACACACACACACACCAGCTATTCTTATACCTTCTAAAGGCAGAGAAATTGACCACTGTCAAAAAAAGATAAAACTCTGCAAGACTTCCTTTTAAGCTATTTGAAGGGAGAAAAGATAAACAATGTTGTATCATAGGGCAGAAAGTGTACTGGTAACAGACAGAGATTCATTTCACTGGGGGCTGGGGATTTAGCACAGTGGCACAGCACCTGCCTGGCAAGCACAAGGTCGAGAGTTCAATTCCCGGTACCGGAAAAAAAAAAAAAAAGATACATTTCACTGGCCTTAGGTGAGAGAGATCTGAGGATACACGGTGGGTCACCATTTAGAAAGTGAATTCTTGTACCTCAGCTGATGATAGACAGCCAGACTCCTCCTCAATGTGGGGGTGGACTTGGATGAGATTTCTTGGTCACCTGCAAAGCATTAGGCTCAATCCTAAAGGTCTTGAATCCCCATGTTGACCACTTGACTTTTACACAAACTTGGAAGAGATGACTCTGTGAAAGTTTAATGTGACTTATGCAAGGAGAAGAAATCCCATGAAGCACAGCTTGGGCTTTTAATACAAATTTTATGTTAAATGACTGAGACCTCTGTGAGGCTCTCTAGTGTAAGCAGAAGCAGCACTCTTCAAGCGCTTTGCAGTCTTTGCAGCATTTTCACTTTAGCTGTGTCATTTAAGGTAAGCAGGGTAGGAATTTCAGAAAGTGAAGGCTTAAAAAAAGGAATCACCCAACATCACCAGACTGTTCATGGAGAGGTTGGAATCAAGTCCAGCTTCTTTATATTTCCAGGTGTGCTGCTTGCCCTGTGTAACCATCCAATGAGTCTCACAATGGAATTAGCATCAGGCAAGGTAACATAAAGCTGAAGCCTGGTCTAGGTCTTAGGACTTATCAGCATTAACATATCAATCTCTTCCCTTTGTAGGCCTTCAGTTTCTTCCTCTTCAGATGTGTATCTGAGAAGGGTGGGACTGTGGTGGTGGTACTTGTTTAGGGGTGGCAAAAAGATTTCACATAGTATTCCCTCTGACCCACTGCTTCTGTCTACCTAAAGTAATGGGTGAAGTGATATTCAGGATGAATTCCAACTTGACAGAAAGGATATCTGTGGTTTATATAGGTACCTGCCATGGCTAAGGGGTAGGAAGTTATAGCAATCAGGCTCTTACAAGCCTTCATACCATATGACTTTCTTGAGTTCAAGATTTTCACTTCAGCAGGAAAAGCAAACAAACAAACATGAAGTTTAGCTTGTGAGTTCATCGGTCACCATTTGGCTTTGTTTTCCAGGTGCGATTTGAAGGTTTGACAGGAAACGTGCAGTTTAATGAGAAAGGGCGCCGGACCAACTACACCCTCCATGTGATCGAAATGAAACACGATGGCATCCGAAAGGTAAGGCCACTTTTGAACTCTCTTCAGGACAGTGAGGACCAAGCAGGTCCCTGGCCAGAGGAAAGGTGCCTGGGAGCTCATTTTGCCAGAACGGCACCTCTGCCGACACTATGGCAATGTGTAGTCTCAGCTCCGCTGCTAGCCAGCTGGGACCTGGGGAAGTCAACTCCATCCTCTGAGAATGTATTCATTCATTTGCAAATCCACTTGCCCTGTGTGACTACTGAGCACTTGATATGGGGTGAGTTCTACTGAGGGTCTGCCTTTTAAATTCTAATGAATTACAAATCAAATTTAAGCAGCCACTTGTTGCTGGTAGCGAGTATATTTGGTGGAATGGCCATGGAGAGCATTGTGCTGGAGATAGTCAACGAGGCCTAATACTTAGAATTTCTGCACACTGTAGGTCATGCAATTCTTTTAAGGATGCTATGAGGTCACATTATCACAGTGATCCCATTTACTTGATGAGACAACTGAGGCACCTGTCCACAATGGCAGACTAGTAAGTAGGGAAGCCAGGCTTCCATGTCTGTGAGTGCACAGCTTGTTCACACACCCATGGTGACTAACTTGCTCTGTACAACACTGTCCACTGCTTTGTAGTCACTATAGTGTGCTGCCACAAGGAATTAGAGGTGTGGTGAAGGTTCCATACAGAGAAGTAGTGGTTGCCATGAGATACAAGGAGAGGCCAGAAAAGGCTGCTCTGGAGAATGACGTTAGCTGTGAGTACAGAAGGCTGAGGAGGTGCTGGGCAGGGAGAAGCATAGAGTCAGGTGGAGAGGGTCCTGGCAGAGAGGAGTGGAAGGCATTCAGAACAACTGTGGTGGAGAGGAAAGGAATGTCAAGAGTAAAGTTCAGAGAACTTGGCAAAGATCCTAATCACATAGGGTCTGGTAGAGTTGTGAATGTTCTCCCAAGGATTTGAACATTATTTAAAATTGTGGTATGCATGTGCATTCCATATTTTATATTCAAGCATATATTATATTGTATCTGTATGTACACACATGTATTTTAACTGTAACTTCCATAGGGATCCTGGAATAGATGTGACCAAGTGTAGACCAGCAGAAGATAGCTAAGTTCATGAATAAACATTATTAAGTTCTTCAGAATCCTTCAAGAAGGGCAATGGAATTGTGATTACATCTCTCTTATTTATATTTTCAAAAGTTTTCCTGTTCCTTGCATTTTTACAGGCACCTCACAACAGAGGTTTGGATTTGAAATTTTTAAAAAAATTAGCCCGTGTTTGCCATACACAGCGATGACATTCACTGTGGCGAGTTGGTACACGTACAAGACACATCTTTTTACATCCCTTTTCCCTTCTCCTTCTTCTTTCCTTCCTCTGCCTCTTGGAGCCTTTCCCATTTGCAAAATCCTTTAATCTTCATTTTGCAAATGAATGAATACATTCTCAGAGGATGGACTTGACTTCCCCAGGTCTCAGCTGGCTAGCACCTATCCAGCTGTGTGGACTCCCACAAGTCTTAGCCTCTTTGAGTCTTTAACATAAGTGAGAGATGGGCTGAACAGCCCCTAATTCCTTCCAGTGTAACCCTTGGATGCCCCCCAAAATACCCTTGGATATCGCTTTGCCAGCCTCACTCCCCTAATCACTGTCCCTCTCCTGGCAGAGCTTTAGCTTCCTCTGAGGAAGTAGAATTAGGGTGTCTATCACTGGACAAACTACCCTTTGGTGTGAACTTCTCTGACTATTACTTCTAGGTCCAGGGGTCCCAGGTCTTTGAGTTGACCCTAAACTTTTCCCAGAGACTATTTGGAGCCCTCTTATCTCTTCCAGACCTTCTCTTCATCAAGAACTTCTTAGAAGTGGAGGATCTGTAATAAGAATCACTGGTTCTTAGCACATAGAAGAGTTACCTGGTGGCTCAGCTTTAAAAATGCAAATTCCTGAGTCTCAGCCACTGGGCATTCTGCTTTTGGAGAAAAGAGGCCTAGTAATCTGTATGAGTAAAGCCTCTTTCCCAGCCTGACTGGAGTCTGGGGCTCAAAGGGATTTGGTGAGAAACACAGGCTAAGTGTCAAAGAGCTTGGGTTTTAGAGATGGATAGACTGGGACTTAAGTCTCTGCCTTACTCTGTACTAGGCACATGACCTTGGCCAGGGTACTTTGCCTCCATGAACCTCATTAATCATCTGTAAAAGAGAGATAATACCGTTTTACCTTGTAGGACTGACATAGGATTAAATGAGACACAATGCCCATCACATAATACATGATTCAGAAAATAGCACCTGGCATGCAATGGACATTCAGCTCACAGTCTATTTGTTTGTTTGTTTGTTTGTTTTGTAAACTCCCTTCTGTAGGCCACCGAAATTTTACACCACCATTGAGTTTGAGTGAGTCAGGCCAAACAAGTCAATAGAATGGATAAACTAGAAAACAGAACTAACTGAATAACCTTCAAAAATCCACAAGCAAATGGTTGTGCTTTAGTTTTCAGATCCCAGGGCCATTTGTAAGCTTACTTTCCAGTGGCTAAATCCTTTCTTAGAATGTGGGTTTAAACATTCTTTGTTTATAGGGGATCTGACTTTCAGAAAATCAATTCTTCCACATCTGTGCCTTTAGGCTTTTTACTCAATCAGCTTCCTAGCAAAGTAATTTCTCAGATTTTTAAGGGTGACCTAGTTATGCTGGTTTCAGTGAACATTACATAGCCTTACCTGATGTGTGTAATAAAAACAAGCTGTGTCATCATAATTCAGGGCTTTGAGAAAACTTTCCTGGTCTTCAGGCCTGTATCCTGCCCACTCAGGTGCCAACATACCTTGTAGGTATTTGGATCCAATTCGACATCCCACTGAAATGTGTTTCCTCAAAGTATACATTCATCATAAAGTTTAGGAGATTTAGTTGCGAAAGTTGGCACTGCTTATACTAAAGCTAAATTGTAGGAAATCCTATTTAGAGATATCACTTCACCATAGAGTACTAACTTAAGGATCCATCTCTGGATAAAATACCTTGTCAAATTCAGATTCAATCACAAATTTTCATAAACAGCTGCCCACAGGTGAATGGTACAGAAAATTCTCATACATCTTTCATCAGCAGACCAGCATTGTTGATTTAACTGTCTTGACTCAACACCATGGATCCCATAGTTGTTTTGGACCTGACTGAAGGCATCTACTCCTTTCATATTGATTTGAGTCCCCCGCCTCTGTCCTGAGTTTGTTACTCCCAATTCTGATCCCATGTGTACCTGGAGTAAAAAGGCTAAGCAGGGAATAAAACAAAGTGGGTCAAAGTCCTGCTGATATCAAAAGTAATCTTTTAAAGTCCCAAAGGATTCCTAGCTCTCTAGTTCCTAAGCCCTTGGAAGTTTTCCTTTCAATCTTGCCATTCAATTTTGGACATAGCAAGTCACACTGTAACTCCAAAACAGGGCTTAATCCAACCACTTCTCTCCATTTTCACTTTTAACCCCAGTGCCCAAGCTGCTTTCCCACCGCGAGAGTAACCTGCTTAGCATTCGTGGGTCCTGCTATCTGTCTTTGTCTTGTTCCTCTAAAATGGCCACTTTTCCACGACAAAATCTTGGAAATAAATGTCAAACATTCCTCAAATTATATTGCTCCTCTGCCTAAACTTTCACTGGTTTCTTATTGCTAGGAAAATATAGTGTGTCTCCTGACCTTGACCTTCAGAGCCCCAGGCAATAGTTCTTGTTCATTTTTCTCTGGGACATCATTTGTCTGTACCCTGGCTGCTGTTGTTCCTGTTGTTGTTGTTGCTGTTGTTGTTGTTGTTCCTTGCGCACTTCAGGCTCACCTTTTCCTGGAGCATTTGTACATGCTATTCCTTCACCTGACATCCTCCATCACTATATCCTCAAGTGCTGTGTTTATCCCTGGTTTGCATATCTCAGCTTGAGAGAAGCCACCTTGAAAAGGCTATCTCTGACCACTTTAAAGTACCTCCCACTCACCCAGCACAGTTCCTAATCCCATTTTATTTTATTTTTTCAAAGCGCTTATCCCTTCCAATATACTGTTGTTGGTTGATCTAAATTGAGGTTGGAAAACTTCAGCCTGCGGGCCAAATTCAACTCACCACCTGTTTTGGTGGTGAGCTAATGGTTTTTACATTTCAACAAACAGTTGAAATAAATTTTCAAGAGAGACTATATTATGACATGTGAAAATTATACAAAATTAAAATTTGTGTCCATACATAAAGCTTTTTTGGAACACAACTGTGCTCATCTGTCTATATATTATCTATGGCTCTTTCTGTATTATAACAGCAGAGATGAGTAGCTGCCTCACAGCCCGGATGCTCTGTAAAACCTAAAGTGATTATCTACCAACTCTTAGTCTGGACATATATTGGCTATGTTTCCCTCTTTGCCTCTTTGCCATTCTTAAGTCCATTTTCCACTACTGTCAGAAAACACCATGCACTGGGTAATTCATAAAGGAAGAAATTTGTTTATCACAATTCTGGAGGCTGGGAAGTCCAATATCAAGATTCTAGCATCTGGTGTGGGGCTTCTTGTTGTACTATGACATAGTAGAAGGCATCATAGTATGGAAAGAGAGCTTGCTTTTGTTACAAAGCCATGCCTGCCATAACTAACCTATCCTCAAATAAAAACATTAATCATTCATAAGGGCAAAGCCCACAACATCATTAATCCATTCATAAGGGTAGAACCCCATGACCTATCACTCTTTAAAAGTCTCATCTCTCCATCCATCAAAACAGCGATTACATTTCAACATGAGTTTTCCTGATGACATCCAAACCACAGCACCATGAAATTACAGATCTCTAAAAGCAGAAACCCTATTTGTATTATTTATTATATCCTCGGTGCCTAGGATATACTGATGCATGATAAACCCATGCAAAGAAGTGGTTGTTTATTAAACAAGTGGGAAGATTATTGAATGTTGTGGGGAATCAGGGAGCATACCTCTCTGTCCCATATTTCCATTGATCTGCCAGTAAGTAA